ATTACTGAGGTTTTAACTATTATTAATATGTTAATAATAGTTATTGATGCGTTAATGGTAAATTTAACCTTAATAATGATGGAAACAAAAATGTAATAAAAAAAAATAAAGTTGGGGGGCAGTAATGAAAATAGTTGATAAAACAGCAGCTTCTACCCTCGAACCCCTACTGTTGAACCGACTCCCAAGAGGATGTTTTCCCGATCAATAAAATCTTAGCCTGTTCTAGTCTAGGGTTAACAGCTATTTCCCTGAAATATCCGCATAATCTTCACTTTTTACTCTATAGCCCTCTTCTTCGAGTGGCCTTGTACGCAGTGAACCTCATTGTAAAAAAAATATTCTTTCAAGTGAGTATTTCGTGTTAAAATATATTCCAAGATCAAGGAGACGACCATAGAAAAGATATCATCTGTTAATTTTACTCTTACTCGGAGTGAAAAAAAAAACGAGATACTTAATTTTTTTATATCCTGTATAAACTCAAAATTGCTTGAAATGGAAGAAACAGACGACTAATGGTGTTATCAGAGAATCGTTGTAAATTCTGCGTATTTACAATTTTCGACCAAGTCTATTAGTGCGCATGCGCGAATAGACTCTCTATTGTGTCATTGCTAAAAAGCAAAGCCATTATCAAAGAATATTTTGGTGAAGGCAACCATATTTGTCTCCGCCTCTAACTATTCTACAAATTGTTCCCAAAAATTGACATCATTTAAATTGTGAATATCTAAGTAGCTATATGTCCCAAACAAACGAAAGTAATAGGCCTCATGTTAAACAATGAAATATTAGTTTATCAAAATTCGAACAAGATATTCAAAGGAGTGTAGATTCAAAAACCGATTTCACAAGTGTTCAGTATGTGTACCACCCGTGACACGACATACGTCAAGACGCTAGTCTAGCTCCTGCCAAACACGCTGTAGCATGTTTTGTGTAACATTCTCTAGTGCCGCAGTGATTCTCTCCCTAAGTTCCTTGAGTGTAGGGAGAGAGGGATATGGATCCTCCCTTGAGATTATTTGAGCTAGAATTGGCTATGTTATTAGAGAACAAATTTTTTGTACACCCTGTACTATAAGTGAGTGCTCAAAACTCACGTATGTGCCGTGGTCAAATAAGGGCTCATTACAAACATAAAGGCCCATACGCTTGTTCTTTTTTACAGGGTATTATAGGGTTGAATCTACAGGTATGCATTGATTTTTGCTTAAGAAGAGAGAAACCGCAAACGTTTTTGGTTGTAATATGGATTTTTAAAAAATATTATGCTTTATTTGCCATAATTTTTCTACACGGGTTTCCCATCTCGCGACCTTCATCAGGCAAAGCGTGGTGATTTCCACATATTATTAAAAATAATCAATATTTTTCTTACGCTTTTCGATGTTAAATATTCTTGATATGAGACATTCACTTTTTAATGTGTTAGTGACCCAAATGTCTTTCTTGAACTGGTCATCAAAAACATAAGAAAAAAAATAATTATTAATTAATTATTTTATCAGGAAAATAGGTTTAACAAATCCAGTTATCGCTCTTTCCAGTATTGATGGGATCTTCCTTCCTAACCTTTTAATTGGAGTAGTTGTTGCTGTTCTTGGAAGTACTTAAGTGATACGACTTTTGTTATTTAGCGCAGTTCTTTGTGATTTTTTTTAGCACCGTTCCATGAAATTCGAAGAAGTATTATCTTCTTTAAGAGCTACGAGTTGCATTCGCTTGGAGCCATTTTTAACCAGTGATCCATTCCGTATGATCTGAAATACTTGAATGGTATTCATCTTCATTTAAAATTGTGAACTATCATGTTTTGTATGCTTGACTGTTATTATTTGAAAGCTTACACATGAAAAATTTTCATTTACTCATATATATATATATATATATATATATATATATATATATATATATATATATATGTATATATTAATATATTGCATTTTTAATATATATATATATATATATATATATATATATATATATATATATATATACAGAGAAAATTTCATATTCATCTATCTATATATATATATATATATATATATATATATATATATATATATATATATATATATATTATATATATATATATTATATATATATATATATATATATATATATATATATAGATATAGGTTGGCTACATATATATATATATATATTGTATTTGTAATATATATATATATATATCTATATATATATATATATATATATATATATATATATATATATAGATAGAGAGAGAGAGGCTTGGCTTTATGTATATATATATATATATATATATATATATATATATATTTAAAGGTATGTTTCGTGGTACAAAATTTTATCACTGCCATAAAAAGACAAAAATTAGTTTTATTATTACCACTCATGATAATAAAAAGTAAAAATGAAAAGCAGGGTAGCTAACCGGTTTCGTACCTCGCCCAACAGAGCTAAATCGAGGTAAATTATATAATAGAAAAAAAAAAGAACAATGGACGAAGTTTATTGGTGGGAAAAAAATTTAAATGATAATTAGTTGGAGGTCTAATATAAAGTCCTTCTTTTTACAAAGAGAAGGCTTTAGAGATAGAATATTGATGGCCTACAACACTTTTAGGTGGTAATTTGAGTGGGACTTACTAAGGATGGTAAAAATCGCCCGCACTAAAACTAACCACAATTATAGCTATTTATAAGGTGTTCTGCGATGGAAGACCCATACGTATTGGTCACAATGTCTGAGGGAGCGTACTTCCGGTTTCGGATTTTCGCTGGAACATGTTGTTTTATTCTAACATCTCGCCTTTGCGTCGTTATTCCTATGTAATGCGAACCGCAACTATATTTAAAGGAATAAATTAGTGAACTATTATTGTGTGGCGGGAAAACATCCTAACGTATAGACGGAAGAACAGGCCTGGCAGAGAAAACAACACGAGTATTAGCGGCAAAGTAACAATGTCGATCTGCGGTAGAAACCTGCTTAGCAAACCTATCGCTGATACTACCTAGCCAAGGAAGGCGGAGATACACAGGACATCTTTTTACTATAGCAGGTTTCACTTTATTAAATTCAGCAATTTTGTTCTTAATAATTGCTTGAACAATGCCCAAGGGGTAGGCATTGTTGCAGAGAGTAGAAGTAATAAACCTGAGTTCATCATCCAACTTGATGTCCGAACGGATCAGGAGAGCCCTATGCGTAAGGGTCTTAATTAAATTAATTTTGTGTTTCCTGGGACAAAAAAGAATCCCAACGGATATACAAACCAGTAAACATCGGTTTACGGTAAACAGAAGTACTAAGACCTGACGTAGATCTGCTGATGAGTACATCGAGAAAGGGAAGAGATGAATCAACCTCCTTTATATATATATATATATATATATATATATAGAGAGAGAGAGAGAGAGAGAGAGAGAGAGGGGAGATAGGTAGATAGATAGATAGATATCCAAATATAAAAGAACGACAAGAATAAAATTCAAACGTTCATAACATTAATTTTTTTTAAAAAAAGGGCTCAATACAAGAGTAGAGCAATAAATATTTATTAAAAACCGTTATATTAGATCATGCAAGTCACTACTACAAAATTCCATATTTTGTTTCCACGTTAAAGCGATGCTTCATAAATTGTAATTTCAAATAAAATCGTTTATTGCCATCATTGTTAAATACCTGATGAGACCTGTTTAAAATGTTTAGAATGTTTCTAGTAGTAACTTGCATGTTCCAATGTAACTGTTTATAATGTATATAATGTAATGTTTATAATATGTCATATAATAATATGTAACAGTTTATCATATATATATATATATATATATATATATATATATATATAAACAAATATATGTATTAAGCAAAACAATTTTACAATGGACAATAGACAATAACATTTGTATGTGTGTGTGAATATTTGTGTTTGTTCTTTGATGAATGTTCGTATTTTGGTGAATGTTCATACGTATGTGTATGTGTGTATAATGTTCATGGCGTCTCCCACAAATGGGAAGACGCGGATCTTCTAAGAGAGCTTACATTGTTGTCGCTGAAATGAAGAAATGAAAAGAGAGAACGAGGCGAGTATTTATAGTATAAGGAGAATGACCCCTAGTGAGAATTTGGGAAATAAGGAGGAGCTAACTCCGACATAATTACCATTTAGAATAATTGTCGTTTCGACGAATTTTCATTCAAAGAATTTATAATTCGAATAAATTTCTTTCGAATAATTGTTTTTGAACAATTTCTTCGATACGGTTTATGAAGTAGTGTGGCACGTCAGCATCTTGATTGTGCCATTATCCTACATGCAATATACCTTTAACTTGTTGCTGCTGTCCAAAATGATGTGGTTTCTGTTATTTGGTACAGTTCTTCGTGTTTCTGCAGCGCCCTTCCGCGAGGTTCGAAGAAGGATAGTCCTCCATAAGACCTACAGAAGTCATTCGGTCAAAGCCATTTTTAATTATTAATCAGAGAAAGTTTAGTAAAGGGAAAGACGCCCATTGCCAGCTGGAAAGTAAGAAGATTTAAAAGAAAAGCAAATATCAACATGTCGGTCAGATGCTCAAACCAGGCTAGAAGGGGAGAATCTCAGTGCAGTTTGATGCACTTGGCTCACTAGAGCCTAACCTCATGTATAAGTGGTAACCACTTATGATTGGCACTATCACTATGCCTTGCTTTCCTAGAAATAAATTCAGATAGCCGATATATTAGTTGTCATTGTGTATATGGCATCTTTTTCTGTACAAGAAAGAAGGAAAAGTTAATAGAAATTGAAAGATAGAATTAAGATACAAAAGGTAGACAGAGAGAAAAAAAATAGAAAAATATTGATACGAAAGAAGCAACGAAAGAATTAGAAAAATACTGATGAGAAACAAACAAATAAACAATAATGATGAGAAAGAAAGAAAGAATTGGAAGAATACAGAGAAGAAAAGAGAATGAATTGGAATAATATTGATGAGAAAGAAAAAGAAAGGAAGAATTAAAAAAATACCGAGAAGAAAGAAAGAAAGAAAGAAAGAAAAGGAAAGGAAAGGAAAGAAAAAGAAAAAATACTGATAAGAAAGAAAGAAAGAAAGAAAGAAAGAAATAAAAAAGAAAGAAAGAAAGAAAGGATACTGATAAGAAAAGAAAGAAAGAAAGAAAGAAAGAAAGAAAGAAAGAAAGAAAGAAAGAAAGAAAGAAAGAAAGAAAGAGAAAAAGAAAGAAAGGATACTGATAAGAAAGAAAGAAAGAAAGAAAGAAAGAAAGAAAGAAAGAAAGAAAGAAAAAAAGAAAGAAAGGATACTGATAAGAAAGAAAGAAAGAAAGAAAGAAAGAAAGAAAGAAAGAAAGAAAGAAAGAAAGAAAAAGAAAAGGAAAGGAAAGAAAAAGAAAAGATACTGATAAGAAAGAAAGGAAGAATTAAAAGAATACCGATAAGAAAGAAAGAAAAAAGAAAGAAAGAAAAAAACAAAGAATGAATATTAATAAGAAAGAAAGAAAGAAAGAAACAAACAAACAAACAAAGAATGGGAAGAATACTTACAAAAAAAAGAAAGAAAGAAAGAATGAAAAGGATACTGATAAAAAAAAGAAAGAAAGAAAGAAAGTAAGTAAGAATTGGAAGAATACAGACAAGAAAAAAGAATGAATTGGAATAATATTGATGAGAAAGGAAAAGAAAGGAAAAATTAAAAAAATACCGATAAGAAAGATAGAAAGAAAGAAAGAAAAAACAAAGAAAGAATTGTCAGAAAGCTGAAATGAAAGAAAAAAAGAAAGAAGCAAACAAATATTCAAAAGAGAAAAACGAAAGAAAAGTATAAAAAGTAAAAAAAAAAAATGGAACAATAAGTAAATGAAAAGAAAAATGAAACAAAATGAGAAAAAAAAACCAAACAATGAAAAACCTATTACCTTAAATTCTTTGTGATTTTCGAATTATCTATGAATATTTTTTTCAGTGGATATTGTATTAATAATTTTGGGAATAAATACCAAATTATGTGGCAATAAATTTTCTACATACATGTCGTACTATTTAACCCATAGCTGGGGGAGGAAATGGATTCATACCTTTCTCATTTCTCATCCCGGGCTGCTATTGATTACATTACACCACCCACACACCCAAACGAAAGATAGAGAGAAGGGAGGTAAAAATGATAAAAAAATGTTTTTTCAATGTCATATCCCTCAACGACATGGCCCTCCACAGATTTCTTTTTATCTGAGAATTACCATAACTTCTTGGGAAAGATAACGAAGTGTAGGGAGACTCTAGTTGGTTTGAGCTCATGACAGATCGGCCATTTTAGAGGGAGAACTCTTCTGCACCTTTAGTTTTTGCTTACGTTTTTTGAGGAAAGGCCTCTTTACCTTCTTTGACCACCAGGGCGTCCACACAAGTGGAAACTGGTCAACATATGCACGGCCTAGCGAAAGAAAAAAATAATTTCTATTCACTTATCTACGGACGATCAAAGACCATAAAGTTGGTATGTTATTTCTTCGTTCTCGTTCCGTAAACCTCCTCGTTCCTTTGGGACAATATGAGCAATCATTTGTTTTGGGACATATGTAAATCTTCTTAATATATGTAAGTCGTTTGCCTTATTAAATGTTTTCTTTGTTACGGCCGCGTATTTTGTCTTTTTATATTCGTATCCAATGTTAGTGTATCAATGGCTACGCAAATACTAATATCGGTATTCTACTTGAAGGCTAAAACACATTATTCTTCCTAATACAAAATAGTCGGTAAGATATGATTGGCTGATGACCAATATTAATAGAAGTAATTCTCCGTTACTTTCTTGCACAGTTTTGAATTCAGTCTTTTTCCAGGGATGACTGACACCGAAGTCTATATATCCTAGCTTACTCTGTGATCTAATCCTTAACCGGCGGTTTAGAGACTGAGAGAGAGAGAGAAGAAATAAAATAATGCCTTTCCCAAGGGCATCAATACGAAATTGAACGCAACAGAGGAGGACATAGCTTGAATTCGCCTCAGCGATCCGTCTTTCCACTTTGATAAACGTTACTTTGACGAACGCATCTAATGAAAACGATTGGTAGTGGAAATAAAAGATGGATATATTTATTACGAAATTAAAAAGAAAATCAAGGACAGGAAAAACAACGTGAGTATAAAAATTGCGAACGAAACGTTAGATAAAACAAACAGACCAACCAAAAACAGAATTTTTACATTGGAAGGAAAATCAGGAAGAAGAAAAGAATGTTATAAATGGAAGAAAGAATATCAAATTATGCAAATTGCTTTCTAAAACTAAAGTCATCCATTGTTAAAAATGCTTAATTATTAGGTGTGTTTAAATTTAATTAGGGAATTCCTTGGGAAATTGCAAGACGAGAACGGTTGGTGGCAAGAAAACGTCATTGAATCTATGCAATATTAATCAGTGTGGAAAACAATACGAATGAAGCAAAATGAACATGCGGGAAAAGAAAGAAAGAAAGAAAGAAAGAAAGAAAGAAAGAAAGGAAGAGACTAGACGAAGGAGACAAAGAAAAAGGAACAAGGTGAAAAAAAGAAAGAAAGAAAGAAAGAAAGAAAGGAAGAAAGGAGTAGAGAGATAAATAAATAAATAGAGAAAAATAAAAGAAGAAACAAGTAAATAAAGAATAAATAAAAAATGGAAGAGACTGAACGAAGGAGATAAAGAAAAAGGAAAAAGGTGAAACAAAGAAAAGAAAGAAAGAAAGAAAGAAAGAAAGAAAGAAAGAAAAAAAAAAGAATCTAAAAAAGGAGATAAAGAGAGAAAAAGGAAGCGAAAAGAAAGATGCTAAACGAAATGAAGAAAGAAAGAAAGAAAGACACTAAACGAAGGAGATAAAGAAAGAAAAAGGAAGCGAAAAGAAAGATAGATGGAATACGAGGAAAAGAAAGAAAGAAAGAAAGACGCTGAACGAAGGAGATAAAAAAGAAAAAGGAAGCGAAACGAAAGAAAGAAGGAATACGAGGAAGAGAAAGAAAGAAAGAAAGAAAGAAAGAAAGAAAGAAAGAAAGAAAGAAAGAAAGAAAGAAAGAAATTGCCCAATCAAAGCAGAATAAAGAAAAGTGTGCGGTGAAAGAAAGAAAAAAAGACGATAAACGAAAGAAATACAGAAATGAAAAGGAAGTGAAGACAAAGAAAGAAGGTAAACGAAAGTGATAAAGAAAAGTGAGCGAGATGAAAGAAAGAAAAAAAAAGAAGCTAAACGGAGATAAAGAAAAAGAAGCGATGTGAAAGAAAGAAAGAAAGAAAGAAAGAAAGAAAGAAAGATGCTAAACGAAGGAGATAAAGAAAGTGAGCGAGATGAAAGAAAGAAAAAAGAAATTAAACGAAGGAGATAAAAAAAATGAGAGAGAAAGAAGGAACAGAAGAAAGGGAAAGAAAGAAAGAAAGAAAGAAAGAAAGAAAGAAAGAAAGAATGAATGAATGAATGAAAGCGTTGACGGACATTTATCTGGTTATCTGGCAATTAGATGTTCAGTGTTGAATAGGTCAAACTTAAAATGTCACATACCGTAGTTAAGTTCAATAGACGGACAAGTAACACAAGGAAGAATAAAATTGCTAATTATTAATCAATATGAAATAAGCCCCTAAACATGGAAAGAAGAATATGTTACTTCTGTGCACTTAATAAATGGTTTGGTTCGAAATTCTGTGTATCTTACCGAGTATGAAGATAATCCTGAAGAAGACAAGAGATTACGGCGATCGAAACATTGGGAGTATAACTGCCAAGATGAGCAGACTGGTCGGAATAGTAAAGGATATGAAAATGAAAATTCCTCATCTCAAATATTCCAACATAAATCATGAAAGAAGGCCTGAGAGTAGAACAGCTGAAATGTTGTGAGCATAACAACCAAGATGGACATGCTGGTCAGTATACAATAAAATGAAAAAGGAGAAAGATTAATGACAATAAAGGAATGAGAAAAAGAGGATGAGAAAGAAAGAAAGAAAGAAGAAAGATTAATGATAAGAAAGAGTATTGAAAGAAATAGTGTTGAAAGAAAGAAAGATTAATAAGAAAGAGTATTGAATTAATAGTGTTGAAAGAAAGAAAGAAAGAAAGATTAATGATAAGAAAGAGTATTGAATTAATAGTGGTGAAAGAAAGAAAGAAAGATTAATGATAAGAAAAAGTATTGAATTAATAGTGTTGAAAGAAAGAAAGAAAGATTAATGATAAGAAAGAGTATTGAATTTATCTGGTCATCTGGCAATTAGATGTTGAAAGAAAGAAAGAAAGAAAGAAAAATTAATGATGAGAAAGAGTATTGAACTAATAGTGTTGAAAGAAAGAAAGAAAGAAAAATTAATGATAAGAAAGTGTATTGAATTAATAGTGTTGAAAGAAAGAAAGATTAATGATGAGAAAGTGTATTGAATTAATAGTGTTGAAAGAAAGAAAGAAAGAAAGAAAGAAAGATTAATGATAAGAAAGAGGATTGAATTAATAGTGTTGAAATAAAGAAAGAAAGAAAGAAAGATTAATGATAAGAAAGAGTATTTAATTAATAGTGTTGAAAGATAGAAAGAAAGATTAATGATAAGAAAGAGTATTGAATTAATAGTGTTGAAAGAAAGAAACATTAATGATAAGAAAGAGTATTGAATTAATAGTGTTGAAAGAAAGGAATAAAGAAAGATTAATGATAAGAAAGAGTATTGAATTAATAGTGTTGAAAGAAAGAAAGAAAGAAAGAAAGAAAGAAAAATTAATGATAAGAAAGTGTATTGAATTAATAGTGTTGAAAGAAAGAAAGATTAATGATAAGAAAGTGTATTGAATTAATAGTGTTGAAAGAATGAAAGAAAGAAAGAAAGAAAGATTAATGATGAGAAAGAGTATTGAATTAATAGTGTTGAAATAAAGAAAGAAAGAAAGAAAGATTAATGATAAGAAAGAGTATTTAATTAATAGTGTTGAAAGATAGAAAGAAAGATTAATGATAAGAAAAGAGTATTGAATTGAAAAAAGAAAGAAAGAAAGAAAAGAAAAGAAAGTATTGAAAAGAAAGAAAGAAAGAAAGAAAGATTAATGATAAGAATGAGTATTGAATTAATGGTGTTGAAAGAAAGAAAGAAAGAAAGATTAATGATAAGAAAGAGTATTGAATTAATAGTGGTGAAAGAAAGAAAGAAAGAAAGAAAAGAAAGAATTAATGATAAGAAAGAGTATTGAATTAATAGTGTGAAAAAGAAAGAAAAAAGAAAGAAAGAAAAAGAAATGATAAGAAAGAAAGAATTAATGATAAGAAAGAAATTGAAAATTTAAAGAAAAGATTGAAAAGAAAGAAAGAAAAAAAGATTAATGATAAGAAAAATTGAATTAATGGTGTTGAAAGAAAAAAAAAAAGATTAATGATAAGAAAAAGTATTGAATTAATGGTGTTGAAAGAAAGAAAGAAAGAAAGAAAGATTAATGATAAGAAAGAGTATTGAATTAATAGTGTTGAAAGAAAGAAAGAAAGAAAGAAAGAAAGATTAATGATAAGAAAGAGTATTGAATTAATGGTGTTGAAAGAAAGAAAGAAAGAAAGATTAATGATAAGAAAGAGTATTGAATTAATAGTGGTGAAAGAAAGAAAGAAAGAAAGAAAGATTAATGATAAGAAAGAGTATTGAATTAATGGTGTTGAAAGAAAGAAAGAAAGAAAGAAAGAAAGAAAGAAAGAAAGAAAGAAAGAAAGAAAGATTAATGATAAGAAAGAGTATTGAATTGATAGTGGTGAAAGAAAGAAAGAAAGAAATAAAGAAAGAAAGAAAGAAAGATTAATGATAAGAAAGAGTATTGAATTAATGGTGTTGAAAGAAAGAAAGAAAGAAATATTAATGATAAGAAAGAGTATTGAATTAATAGTGGTGAAAGAAAGAAAGAAAAGATAAAAGAAAAAGAAAGAAAGAAAAATTAAAGATAAGAAAAGTATTGAATTAATAAGTGTTGAAATAAAGAAAGAAAAAAGAAAAGAAAGATTAATGATAAGAAAGAGTATTTAATTAATAGTGTGAAAAAGATAGAAAGAAAGATTAATGATAAGAAAAGAGTATTGAATTAATAATGAAAAGAAAGAAAACATTAATGATAAGAAAGAGTATTGAATTAATAGTGTTGAAAGAAAGGAATAAAAGAAAGATTAATGATAAGAAAAGAGTATTGAATTAATAGTGTTGAAAGAAAGACAAAAGAAAGAAAGAAAGAAAAATTAAAAGAAAAAATTAATGAAGAAAGAAAGTGTATTAATGATTAATAGTGTTGAAAGAAAGAAAGAATTAATGAAAGAAAGAAAAGAAAGAAAGATTAATGATAAGAAAGAGTATTGAATTAATGAAAAAAAAGAAAAGAAAGAAAGAAAAAAGATTAATGGGATAAGAAAAATATTGAATTAATAGTGTTGAAATAAAGAAAGAAAAGAAAGAAAGAAGAAAAGATTAATGATAAAATAGTATTGAATTAATGGTGTTGAAAAGAAAGAAAAAGAAAGAAAAGATTAATGATAAGAAAGAGTATTGAATTAATAGAAAAGAAAGAAAAAAGAAAGAAAGAAAAGAAAGAAAGAAAAGAAAGAAAGAAAGAAAAGATTAATGATAAGAATGAGTATTGAATTAATGGTGTTGAAAAGAAAGAAAGAAAAGATTAATGATAAGAAAGAGTATTGAATTAATAGTGGTTGAAAGAAAAAAAAAAAATTAAGAAAGAAAGAAAGAAAGAAAAGATTAATGATAAGAAAGAGTATTGAATTAATAGTGTTGAAAAGAAAGAAAGAAAGAAAGAAAAAAGAAAAAAAAGAAAAGATTAATGATAAGAAAGAGTATTGAATTAATGGTGTTGAAAAAGAAAGAAAAGAATTAATGATAAAAAGAGTATTGAATTAATAGTGGAAAAAAGAAAGAAAGAAAGAAAGAAAGAAAGAAAGAAAGAAAGAAAGAAAGATTAATGATAAGAAAGAGTATTGAATTAATGGTGTTGAAAGAAAGAAAGAAAGAAAGAAAGAAAGAAAGAAAGAAAGAAAGAAAAGATTAATGATAAGAAAAGTATTGAAATTGATAAGTGTTGAAAGAAAGAAAAGAAAGAAAGAAAGAATTAATGGTGTTGAAAGAAAAAAAAGAAAGAAACAAGAAAAGAAGTGAAAGAGTATTGAAGAAAATAGTGGTGAAAGAAACAAAAAAAAGAAAGAAAAGAAAGAAAGAAAAAATTAATGATAAGAAAGAAAGATTTGATTAATGATAGTGTTGAAAGAAAGAAAGAAAAAGAAAGAAAGAATTAAAGAAAGAAAGAAAGAAAGAAAGAAATATTAATGATAAGAAAAGAGTATTGAATTAATAGTGGTGAAAAAGAAAAAAGAAAGAAAGAAAAAGAAAGAAAAGAAAAGAAAGAAAAGATTAATGATAAGAAAAGAGTATTGAATTAATGGTGTTGAAAGAAAAAAGAAAGAAAGAAAGAAAAGAAAGAAAAGAAAGAAAGAAAGAAAGAAAAGAAAGATTAATGATAAGAAAGAGTATTGAATTAATAGTGGTGAAAACAAGAAAGAAAAAAGAAAAGAAAAGAAAGAAAAAGATTAATGATAAGAAAGAGTATTGAATTAATGGTGTTGAAAAGAAAGAAAGAAAAATTGAATTAATGAAAGAAAGAAAAGAAAAAGAAAGAAATGGAATTAATAGAAAGAAAGAAAGAAAGATAAGAAAAGAAAAGAAAGAAAAAAGAAAGAAAAAAGAAAGAAATTAAGAAATAAGAAAACACAAGAAAAGTATTGAATTAATTGTGGTGAAAAGAAAGAAAGAAAGAAAAGAAAGAAAGAAAAAGAAAAGAAAGAAAAAGATTAATGATAAGAAAGAGTAATTGAATTAAAAAAAGGTGTTGAAAGAAAGAAAGAAAGAAAGAAAGATTAATGATAAGAAAGAGTATTGAATTAATGGTGTTGAAAGAAAGAAAGAAAGAAAGAAAGATTAATGATAAGAAAGAGTATTGAATTAATTGTAGAAAGAAAGAAAGAAAGAAAGAAAGAAAGAAAGAAAAGAAAAGAAAGAAAGAAAGATTCATGATAAGAAAGTATTGTATTGAAAAAAAATAGTATTTGAAAGAAAGAAAAACAAAATGAATGATAAGAAAGAACAAATCATAAAGAAAGAAAAAAAAAAAAGGAAGAAAGAATTAAGACAAGAAAAGAAAAGAAAGATTTGGAAGAAAGAGTGTCAGAAAGAAACAAACAAACAAAAAAAGGAAAGAATGGAGAAAGAAAAAAAAAGAAAGAAAGAAAAGAAAGAAAGAAAACAGAAAAAAAGATTAATGATAACAAGAAAAAAAGATTGAATTAAAAGTGGTGAAAGAAAAGAAAGAAAAAAAAGAAAGAAAGAAAAGAAAGAAAGAAAAAAAGATTAATGATAAGAAAAAGTATTGAATTAATGGTGGTGAAAAAGAAAGAAAGAAAGAAAGAAAGAAAGAAAGA